AACCAAACACACCTTTTCTCTTGTCGCTTGCGTCACAGGCAAATGCTCTTTGATAGAGTGTGGCGCCAACGCCGCTTGCAGCGTGGATAAGACAGGGAAGGCAACCTGTTCGTGTGACACGGGCTTTGAAATGCTTGCCAATGGCACTTGTGCTGGTGAGGCGTGATGCTTCGAAACCCAAAACCTGGCTTCCAGTGGTTTGTTATTGTTGCCTCGGTTTTCCGCTCCCAAAATCTATCCCAATGCAGAGTTTTTCATGCTGCTTCTGTGCAGTGCTTGTTGCTGTTGACTCATTTTTGCGTTCCCAAGCTCAACTCAGCTCAACCAAACACACCTTTTCTCTTGTCGCTTGCGTCACAGGCAAATGCTCTTTGATAGAGTGTGGCGCCAACGCCGCTTGCAGCGTGGATAAGACAGGGAAGGCAACCTGTTCGTGTGACACGGGCTTTGAAATGCTTGCCAATGGCACTTGTGCTGGTGAGGCGTGATGCTTCGAAACCCAAAACCTGGCTTCCAGTGGTTTGTTATTGTTGCCTCGGTTTTCCGCTCCCAAAATCTATCCCAATGTAACGTTTTTCATGCGGCTTCAGAGCAGTGCTTGTTGCTGTTGACTCATTTTTGCGTTCCCAAGTCCAACTCAGCTCAACCAAACACACCTTTTCTCTTGTCGCTTGCGTCACAGGCAAATGCTCTTTGATAGAGTGTGGCGCCAACGCCGCTTGCAGCGTGGATAAGACAGGGAAGGCAACCTGTTCGTGTGACACGGGCTTTGAAATGCTTGCCAATGGCACTTGTGCTGGTGAGGCGTGATGCTTCGAAACCCAAAACCTGGCTTCCAGTGGTTTGTTATTGTTGCCTCGGTTTTCCGCTCCCAAAATCTATCCCAATGCAAAGTTATTCATGCTGCTTCTGTGCAGTGCTTGTTGCTGTTGACTCATTTTTGCGTTCCCAAGCTCGACTCAGCTCAACCAAACACACCTTTTCTCTTGTCGCTTGCGTCACAGGCAAATGCTCTTTGATAGAGTGTGGCGCCAACGCCGCTTGCAGCGTGGATAAGACAGGGAAGGCAACCTGTTCGTGTGACACGGGCTTTGAAATGCTTGCCAATGGCACTTGTGCTGGTGAGGCGTGGTGCTTAGATATCCCAAAACCTGGCTTCCAGTGGTTTGTTATTGTTGCCTCGGTTTTCTGCTCCCCAAATCTATCCCAATGTTTAGTTTTTCATGCTGCTTCTGTGCAGTGTTTGTTGCTGTTTACTCTTTTTTTCGTTCCCAAGCTCAACTCAGCTCAACCAAACACACCTTTTCTCTTGTCGCTTGCGTCACAGGCAAATGCTCTTTGATAGAGTGTGGCGCCAACGCCGCTTGCAGCGTGGATAAGACAGGGAAGGCAACCTGTTCGTGTGACACGGGCTTTGAAATGCTTGCCAATGGCACTTGTGCTGGTGAGGCGTGATGCTTCGAAACCCAAAACCTGGCTTCCAGTGGTTTTATTGTTGCCTCGGTTTTCTGCTCCCAAAATCTATCCCAATGTAACGTTTTTCATGCTGCTTCAGTGCACTGTTTGTTGCTGTTGACTCATTTTTGCGTTCGCAAGCTCAACTCAGCTCAACCAAACACACCTTTTCTCTTGTCGCTTGCGTCACAGGCAAATGCTCTTTGATAGAGTGTGGCGCCAACGCCGCTTGCAGCGTGGATAAGACAGGGAAGGCAACCTGTTCGTGTGACACGGGCTTTGAAATGCTTGGCAATGGCACTTGTGTTGGTGAGGCGTGATGTTTCGAACCCAAAACCTGGCTTCCAGTGGTTTGTTATTGTTGCCTCGGTTTTCCGCTCCCAAAATCTATCATGCTGATTCTGTGCAGTGCTTGTTGCTGTTGACTCATTCTTGCGTTCCCAAGCTCAACTTAGCTCAACCAAACACACCTTTTCTCTTGTCGCTTGCGTCACAGGCAAATGCTCTTTGATAGAGTGTGGCGCCAACGCCGCTTGCAGCGTGGATAAGACAGGGAAGGCAACCTGTTCGTGTGACACGGGCTTTGAAATGCTTGCCAATGGCACTTGTGCTGGTGAGGCGTGATGCTTCGAAACCCAAAACCTGGCTTCCAGTGGTTTGTTATTGTTGCCTCGGTTTTCCGCTCCCAAAATCTATCCCAATGCAGAGTTTTTCATGCTGATTCTGTGCACTGTTTGTTGCTGTTGACTCATTTTTGCGTTCCCAAGCTCAACTCAGCTCAACCAAACACACCTTTTCTCTTGTCGCTTGCGTCACAGGCAAATGCTCTTTGATAGAGTGTGGCGCCAACGCCGCTTGCAGCGTGGATAAGACAGGGAAGGCAACCTGTTCGTGTGACACGGGCTTTGAAATGCTTGCCAATGGCACTTGTGCTGGTGAGTCGTGATGCTTCGAAACCCAAAACCTGGCTTCCAGTGGTTTGTTATTGTTGCCTCGGTTTTCCGCTCCCAAAATCTATCCCAATGTAACTTTTTTCATGTGGCTTCAGTGCAGTGCTTGTTGCTGTTGACTCATTTTTGCGTTCCCGAGTCCAACTCAGCTCAACCAAACACACCTTTTCTCTTGTCGCTTGCGTCACAGGCAAATGCTCTTTGATAGAGTGTGGCGCCAACGCCGCTTGCAGCGTGGATAAGACAGGGAAGGCAACCTGTTCGTGTGACACGGGCTTTGAAATGCTTGCCAATGGCACTTGTGCTGGTGAGGCGTGATGCTTCGAAACCCAAAACCTGGCTTCCAGTGGTTTGTTATTGTTGCCTCGGTTTTCCGCTCCCAAAATCTATCCCAATGCAAAGTTTTTCATGCTGCTTCTGTGCAGTGCTTGTTGCTGTTGACTCGTTTTTGCGTTCCCAAGCTCAACTCAGCTCAACCAAACACACCTTTTCTCTTGTCGCTTGCGTCACAGGCAAATGCTCTTTGATAGAGTGTGGCGCCAACGCCGCTTGCAGCGTGGATAAGACAGGGAAGGCAACCTGTTCGTGTGACACGGGCTTTGAAATGCTTGCCAATGGCACTTGTGCTGGTGAGGCGTGATGCTTCGAAACCCAAAACCTGGCTTCCACTGGTTTATTATTGTTGCCTCGCTTTTCTGCTCCCAAAATCTATCCCAATGTAACGTTTTTCATGCTGCTTCAGTGCACTGTTTGTTGCTGTTGACTCATTTTTGCGTTCCCAAGCTCAACTCAGCTCAACCAAACACACCTTTTCTCTTGTCGCTTGCGTCACAGGCAAATGCTCTTTGATAGAGTGTGGCGCCAACGCCGCTTGCAGCGTGGATAAGACAGGGAAGGCAACCTGTTCGTGTGACACGGGCTTTGAAATGCTTGCCAATGGCACGTGTGCTGGTGAGGCGTGATGCTTCGAAACCCAAAACCTGGCTTCCAGTGGTTTGTTGTTGTTGCCTCGGTTTTCTGCTCCCAAAATCTATCCCAATGCAAAGTTTTTCATGCTGCTTCTGTGCAGTGCTTGTTGCTGTTGACTCATTTTTGCGTTCCCAAGCTCAACTCAGCTCAACCAAACACACCTTTTCTCTTGTCGCTTGCGTCACAGGCAAATGCTCTTTGATAGAGTGTGGCGCCAACGCCGCTTGCAGCGTGGATAAGACAGGGAAGGCAACCTGTTCGTGTGACACGGGCTTTGAAATGCTTGCCAATGGCACTTGTGCTGGTGAGGCGTGATGCTTCGAAACCCAAAACCTGGCTTCCAGTGGTTTGTTATTGTTGCCTCGGTTTTCTGCTCCCAAAATTTATCCCAATGTAAAGTTTTTCATGCTGCTTCAGTGCAGTGCTTGTTGCTGTTGACTCATTTTTGCGTTCCCAAGCTCAACTCAGCTCAACCAAACACACCTTTTCTCTTGTCGCTTGCGTCACAGGCAAATGCTCTTTGATAGAGTGTGGCGCCAACGCCGCTTGCAGCGTGGATAAGACAGGGAAGGCAACCTGTTCGTGTGACACGGGCTTTGAAATGCTTGCCAATGGCACTTGTGCTGGTGAGGCGTGATGCTTCGAAACCCAAAACCTGGCTACCAGTGTTTTGTTCTTGTTGCCTCGGTTTTATGCTCCCAAAATCTATCCCAATACAAAGTTTCTTCGCTGCTTCTCTGCAGTGTTTGTTGCTGTTGACTCATTTTCGGGTTCCCAAGGTCAACTCAACTCAACCGAACTCACCTCTTTTTTTTTTTTTTTCGCTTGCGTCACAGGCAAATGCTCTTTGATGAAGTGTGGCGCCAATGCCACGTGCAGCACAGATAAGACAGGGAAGGCAACCTGTTCGTGTGACACGGGCTTCGAAAGGCTTGCCAATGGCACTTGTGCTGGTGAGCCGTTTTACTTGGAAACCAAAACCTGGCTTCCAGTGTATTGTTCTTGTTGCCTCGGTTTTCTTTTCCCAACATGTATCCCAATATAAACTCTAAACCCCAGACCCTTCACCCTTAACCGTAGACCATAAATCCTGAACTTTGATTGTATGCATTACTTATTCTCATGGTTGGTATTGAGTGGAAGTGCGAAACTTTCCCTTATGGTTGGTGCTAAGTGTAAGTACGTTATGGTTGGTACTTCGAGAAAGTGTGTTACTTATCTGCATTGTATTCAATGTAAGTGCGTTTCTTACCCTTAAGCTTGGTGTTAAGAGTAAATGTGTTACATGCCCTGATGGTTAGTAGTATTTGTACGTGTGTTACTTTCCCTTATGTTTGGTACTAAGTGTAAGTGTGTTGTTTACATTCATAATTGGTACTAACAGTAAGTGCATTACGTACCGTTATGGTTGGTACTAAGTGTAAGTGCGTTACTTATCTTAATGGTTGAAATTAAAATCAAATGCGTTACTTGTTCTCGTGGTGTGGTTGAGGGTTTTAAGGTTTGGGACTTAGGGTGTAGGACCCTGTCAACTCATTTTCCCGTTTCCAACCCAACTCAGCTCAAACACCTTTTCTCTTGTCGCTTGTGTCACAGGCAAATGCTCTTTGATCAAGTGTGGCGCCAATGCCATGTGCAGCGTGGATAAGACAGGGAAGGCAACCTGTTCGTGTGACACGGGCTTTGAAATGCTTGCCAATGGCACTTGTGTTGGTGAGTCATTGTGATTTCAAGTTCTTTGATGTGCCCTTGTGACCAAAGGTGCACTTGTGATCAAAGGTGCACTTGTGATCAAAGGTGCACTTGTGAACAAAGGTGCACTTGTGAACAAAGGTGCACTTGTGAACAAAGGTGCACTTGTGAACAAAGGTGCACTTGTGAACAAAGGTGCACTTGTTATTAAAGGTGCACTTGTTATTAAAGGTGCACTTGTTATTAAAGGTGCACTTGTTATTAAAGGTGCACTTGTTATTAAAGGTGCACTTGTTATTAAAGGTGCACTTGTTATTAAAGGTGCACTTGTTATTAAAGGTGCACTTGTTATTAAAGGTGCACTTGTTATTAAAGGTGCACTTGTTATTAAAGGTGCACTTGTTATTAAAGGTGCACTTGTTATTAAAGGTGCACTTGTTATTAAAGGTGCACTTGTTATTAAAGGTGCACTTGTTATCAAAGGTGCACTTGTTATCAAAGGTGCACTTGTTATCAAAGGTGCACTTGTGAACAAAGGTGCACTTGTGAACAAAGGTGCACTTGTTATTAAAGGTGCACTTGTTATTAAAGGTGCACTTGTTATTAAAGGTGCACTTGTTATTAAAGGTGCACTTGTTATTAAAGGTGCACTTGTTATTAAAGGTGCACTTGTTATTAAAGGTGCACTTGTGAACAAAGGTGCACTTGTGAACAAAGGTGCACTTGTTATTAAAGGTGCACTTGTTATTAAAGGTGCACTTCTTATCAAAGGTGCACTTGTTATTAAAGGTGCACTTGTTATTAAAGGTGCACTTGTTATTAAAGGTGCACTTGTTATTAAAGGTGCACTTGTTATTAAAGGTGCACTTGTTATTAAAGGTGCACTTGTTATTAAAGGTGCACTTGTTATTAAAGGTGCACTTGTTATTAAAGGTGCACTTGTTATTAAAGGTGCACTTGTTATTAAAGGTGCACTTGTTATTAAAGGTGCACTTGTTATTAAAGGTGCACTTGTTATTAAAGGTGCACTTGTTATTAAAGGTGCACTTGTTATTAAAGGTGCACTTGTTATTAAAGGTGCACTTGTCATGCAGTTTCGTTCACCCCGGTGCTCCTCCTACCTGTTCCCACCCTTTCGGTCTTGCCCTTTCTATCCTTGTCTGCACCCATCGTGCGTGGTGCACTCCTATTCCCCTGCCTCAGACTCTGCATGCTTGGCTTTGGGCTGCTCCCCCGGTGGGAAGTGTATAACGACAACTGGGCGCAACCCATACCGCTACTGCCAATGGGGTGAGCAGCACTGGGATGGAGCATGCGCGAGCATGGCGTGACGCGCACCGGCCCATCACCGCATGGTGTGATGGTCCGCATTGTGCGATGGGTTCGCAGCTTGGGAACACGGGGTGCGATTGTAGCAAGCGTTGCTTGACATCAATTTGTTTCTTCCATGCATTTCACACCTTTACCCATCTTCATTGTTGCGGGTGTTAAATAGCACTGCCCTGCCACGCCCTTGTCTGCCTGTACTGCCTCTCTCAGACTCGCGGTGTGGCATCTGCCCCACTGGAGCCACCTGCAAGACCGCAAGCTCGAAGTCTGCCTCCAATGTTCCATACTGCGTGTGTCCGGACGGCTATGGCATGACGCCAGATGCTTGCATTAAAGGTGAGACACTACCTTTTTGAGACTTCATGAGACACAGAACCTGACTGCTCTGCCTTATTCCATATGCCTTGTTGCATATGCCCTGCCTTTGCCTTGTTGGATGTGCCTTGTCTCCTTTCCCTGATTGCATATGCCCTGCCCATGCCTTCTGCATGTTCTCTGACGCCTTTAGAAGACCCGAATAACGTTCCTCATGAGCGAAACTGCATGGGGTGGCTTGAGTCCACTGCCACCCATCAACACTGGTCGCAACAGCAGCAGTAGTAGCAGCAGGACAGCATCCACACTTCACTTCTCCGCGTTCCTGCTTAAGGCCAGCCACTCAGAGGAAGTGCATTTACAACCCACTCCTTACTCCACTTCCCACTCCCCTTGTGCTCCCACTCGCTACCCCACTTGCACGTCACATTCCAGGTGGCAAGTCCACAGTGGGAGCAGCGAGTGCGACGCTCATCCAGAACGAAATGGCAGGCAACAATGCGTCCAGGCCGTACACCGTGCGTGCCAACCTCAATGGGTGCACACAGCTTCCCAAGCATCTCGCTGCCAACTACACGACACGATACGGCGTGTACAACATGAACGGCACGTTGCGCTGCAACACCTTCTCTTTCTGGGGGGGCGACAACTGTACAGGGCGTCTTGTGTATGGGGGCCCGCTACCAACCACTCCATACAATACAATTGCTGTATAGTGAGTGGCCCAAATCGTCCAGCTACAGCAGCAATGCCCAATTATCCATTCACACTTGCCGCCGTTTTTTCCTCATTTTCCGCTGCTTCTTTAATGTACACCAATCGTCTTTTCACTCTTTCTTTCCCTCCTCCCCATTCCCTCTCCACCCCCTGTTGCACGAATCGTCAGTACCACGGCACCTGATATCAGGTCCATCTGGTGCTGGGAGTAGCTGCACATACAGGATGGCTGGGCTGGACTACTAGAGAACTGCTGTGGAAATGCTACTGTCATCGCCAGAACAGAAGACAGTTGCCCTATTTTGGGGTAAATTTTAGGGGAACTATGTGCCAGTATGGGGTAAGACATGTCTTACCGTATTATTCGATTTGGGTTTGGGGTATGGTACTCTTACAGAATCACGTTGTCACACCCTCGTTATCCTCATCTAAATAAGTAGAAGTCGGTGCTTCTGGTCCCATATCCAGAACATTCTTGTTAACATGCACATTCATTTCATGTGTATTCTTAGGATAAGCTGGGTTGCACTGTAAAGGGTACAGCTTTCCTATATATACCCCCTATGTGTGCCGTCATTCCTAATCTGTTTCATTTCTCATATGGTATCACACTATGTTAGGTCCCTCGCTTCTGCCTATCGTACATCCCTAGCTGCTCCTCGTCACAGCCTCACCGTGCCCACCACGCCCCTGCTGCCGCGCCTGCCTCGCGCAAGCAGCCGCACCTGTCGTACTACGGCTCGATCGGAGGGGCAGGCGCTCAACTTTGACATATGGCCGTTCGACGTCCAGCTCCACATCGGAGTTAGCGCCAGGATGATGTCTACCTGTACGCCCACATGTCAAATGGATGGGCTACCTGCTCCCCATCGTCCGCCTGCAAATCAAGGGAGCAAGGTGGGATGCTCAAGGGTAGGCAAATCACCCGTCATGTAAGCGAACAACATGTCACCGTCCTGGTGCTAGCTCTGGAGGTACAGTTAGCGTGTAGCAGCCATGTGCTAAAGTTTATCGCTCGGCCTACTGCATCGAATCGCAAAACCCTTGGGGGTCACTGTGGCAAAGGCTAGCTGCAGATAAGGAATGGCAAGATAAGAGTGCAGGCTAGGAACAACAGGCTAGGAGCGCCAGGCTAGAAACGGTAGTCTAGCCTAGTAGGAGAGCCCAACGGCGAGAGACTGAGGTGAGACGGCAAGCACAGATTGGGTGGGGTGGAGCACTAAGAGTCCGATGGCGGCTAGTGTTGCTGGCGCCAATGGCGCTGGGGGCGGCTGGCGGCTGCTGGCACTGCTAGCGTTAGTCCTGCTGGCAGCTGGTTACTACCGTCGTCACCTGATATAAGACAGTGTTGAATAGAAGACAAGGGTGTCAGAATGAATGACGCAGGAATGAGAATGAACAAAGGAGAGAGATTCACTAGCAAGCAGTTGGATACATATAGCAAACCCTAACTGGGTTGTACTCGCTATAGAGCACCCCACTGCAGGCTAGATAATATAACATTCTGACACACCCCCATAGCCAAAGTGGGGTGTAATCAGCACAACAAGCAGTCATAGCAGTAGTTCACAATTTATGAGCAAAGCTAGAGGCAATCACAGAGGGCAAGTGAGGAGGAGGAGGGCTGGCGAGAGGAGAGAAGATGGGAGGCGACGACTGAAGCTGCAGACACACGAGCAACAGAAGCGCTGGTGCGACTCAGCGGCTACCGGGAGCAAGTGCCCCGGAATACAGGAGTAACAGGCTCTGCGGCTGATCAGCAGCGGCAGGAGCAACGGACCCACGGGCGACAGGTGCAGCAGGCTCTCTGAGCTACCGGCGGCCACTAGAACCCCGGAATACAGGCGCTGCGGACGACACGATGGCAGCCTCCACTCAACCTCCCCCAACTGTCCCACACACCCCCCACACACCCACTGCTTCACCCCTAACTCCACTTGTACGTCACCCCCTCGTACCACTCCGACGGCTCCAACACATCCACCCCCCTCAGCGGCAGCTGCAGCAGTGGGAGACGGAGGAGGAGGAGGAGCAGGGGACGGCTGACAGAGACGGCACCCCCATACGCTCCACCCCCAAACCCTAATTCAGGAGCACGGGCAGCAGCAGGGGTGGGGCGCCGTCAGAAGCGCGGGGGACAGCGGGCGGCTCAAGGGAAGAGGAAACAGGGCGCCCACGGGCCTGGCGCAGCCCGTACGAACCGCGCGAGGGCGGCCCGAGGCGCGCCCTGGCCTGGCGCAGCCCGTACGGGCCGCGCGCGGGCCTGGCGCAGCCCGTACGGGCCGCGCGCGGGCCTGGCGCAGCCCGTACGGGCCGCGCGCAGGCTGTACGGGCCGCGCGCGGCCCCTACGCAGGTCGCGCGGGCCACGACGGGCGACGGGGGGCGACGCGCGGGTCCCCGTCGCCCGTCGCAGCGCCTCCCGGGGGCGACGCGCGGAGTGACGGGGCAGAAAGCCGCCGCGCGCCTCGGGGCGCACGGCGGGCAGAAAACCGCCGCACGCTCCGAGCGCGCGGCGGGATGAAAAATCCGTCGCACGCCACGGGGCGTGCAACACACAGAGTAGCAGTAGCAGCGGAAGCAGTGAGGTGGTGGGCCCACCCACAGGATCGACCCAGGAGGGTCGACCTGCTCCGATAGCATGTCAGAATGAATGACGCAGGAATGAGAATGAACAGAGGGAGATTCACTAGCAAGCAGTTGGATACATATAGCAAACCCTAACTGGGTTGTACTCGCTATAGAGCACCCCACTGCAGGCTAGATAATATAACATTCTGACAAAGGGGTGTCAGATAAACAAGTATTTCTTTTAAATGGGTTTTCCTGATTATAAGACACCTATATGTGTGCACGAGTTAAGACATATGTGTCTTACAATCAAAGCGGTAATGTACAATAGTATAAAGTGAAATAGAACATACATTTTTACCCTTGCAAAACACGAATTTGCCCACGTCCTAACTCAGGTCTTACAAATTCCACCTTAGCAGGCAAAACTTGCCAAGGTGGAGAAGCACAGGTCACCGCACTGGGTGGAGACGACAACTAGCCACAGGAGGAGAACGCCACGCACATCAACCTTCCGCTTCAAAGGAAACATCGTGGTGTAGCGGTAGTAGTCCTCCATAAAAACCAAGAAGTAGCACTCGCGACACGACCTAGGGACGGGGGCAGTGCCCTTGAGGTCCAGGTGGTAAAGGAAGAAGAGAAGGAGGCGGGACACGACCAGAAAGAGTACGAAGGAATAAAGAGTAGAGTCTAGGAATAAAAGATGAGGGACGAGCTCACGAGGAACGAGATAAGTAGGGATTAGAGAAAGGCCCATCGAATAGTTCTCTGCCTGTAGTGCATTACCCTGTTCGTAGCGCCTATTCCTGCCCGCGCGCCGCTCTGCTGGCTGCCGAGCTGCCCTGCCCTGCCCACGCGCCGCCCTGCTGGCTGTCGCGCCGCCCTGCCCTGCTTACGTGCCACCCTGCTGGCTGCCGCGCCGCCCTGCTGCACGTCGCGCCGCCCTGCTGGTCGCGCGATGCCCTACCCTGCCCGTCGCGTCACCCTAGGACCCGCGCGACGCTCTGCCCTGCCCGTCGTGTTGCCCTAAGGAGCTACTGGAGCTGGAGGTGCTGGCGCTGGAGGTGCTGGAGCTGGAGGCACAGGAGCTGGTGACCTGGGAGCTGGAGGTGCTGGAGCTGGAGGCACTGGAGCTGGAGGCGCTAGAGCTGGAGGTGCTGGAGCTGCTGGAGGCCCTGGAGCTGCTGGTACTAGTACTGGCAGTACTAGTGCTGGAGGAGCTGGTGCTGGTGGTATTAATTGCACAGCCGCGACTATTCTTCGCTCCGCCGTCACTGTCGTCTCTGCCGTCTCCTGACTCGGTGCTTCGCCATGTTCTTAGCCTCCCGTCTTCTACTGGCCTCCCGTTACAGCCAGGCTCCCCACTGCCTGCTCCTTCTCCTTACACTAAGCAGTCTAACTCGCTTACAGAGCGTCGTGAGCCTGCGTCTCGTCCTGCCTCGCCTGTTCGCGCTGTTCGCACTGGTCGTCGTGTTCCTCGTCAGCGTCCTCCTCCTGTCCCTGGTACTCACACTATGACACTTCGTCCTTCCTCTGTTCCACAGCGTGTTCCCCTGCCGTCTCCTCCTTTGTCCTCTCTTCCACATGTTCCGAACCCTGAGTCTGACTTGGTTCGTGCTACCAGCCCTACTGTTACGCATCTCCTAGCCACTGTTGTCACTGACCCTTCGTTTGAGTCCGCTGCTGCGTCTGCCTTAGTCGCTGAGCTTGTTGACTTTGCTGCTGCTTGTCGTCTCGACTACGCTGCTAGCCTTGTTGCTCAGTCTGAGTCTGTCTGTCCTCCGTCCGTCGGAGGTGAGTGTGCTCTTGGCACGGACGTCCTTGAGGACAGGCAGGAGGACTTTGAGTGTCTTGCAGCCGCTGTACCTCATCTCGTGGCCATGCTGCTTGCACCTGAGGGAGACCCGGATGCACTGGACATCCTGACCCCGCGCTCTTACGCAGAGGCGATTTCGGGTCCCTACTCCTCTCATTGCCAGGCAGCCATGGACGCAGAGATGTCATCTTGGAACTCTACATTGCACATATGTCGATTTAGTTTCCCCTCCTGGGGCGAACATAGTCGATGGCATGTGGATTTTCAGGGTGAAGCGGCCGCCAGGTTCTCCGCCTGTCTACAAGGCTCGTTACGTTGCACGAGGCTTTAGTCAGCGACAGGGAGTTGACTTCTTCCATACCTTCTCCCCTACCCCGAAGATGACCATTCTTCCGGTGCTGCTGCACGTTGCCGCTCAGCGTGACTACGAGCTTCACTCTCTTGACTTTAGCACAGCTTTCTTACAGGGCAGCCTGCACGAGGAGATCTGGCTACGCCGCCCACCTGGCTTCACTGGGTCGTTTCCTGCAGGTACCCAGTGGAGCCTCCGGCGGCTAGTCTACGGTCTCCGCCAGGCGCCTCGTGAGTGGCACGACACACTTAGGACGACACATGTGGCACTTGGATTTGCTCCTTTGACTGCTGACCCGTCGCTGTTTCTCCGCACCGACACTTCGCTGCCGCCGTTCTACATCCTCTTGTACGTCGACGACTTGGTTTTTGCCACTGCTGACACTGAGGCACTCGCCCTTGTGAAGTCGGAGCCACAGAAGAGACACACGTGCACAAACCTAAGTGAGCTACGCAGCTACCTTGGCTTGCAGATC